TNTCACCACTTCTTTGANTCTTTTTGTCCAGCTGTCGACTTTAAGTCTGTGTCCATGTCCAACCAGAGCCAGGTTGGAGTTTTAATCAGTTTTCAGTTAAATTAATTCAATCCAACTCTATATCACCAAAATCACTCTGTCCCTCTAAAATCTTTCAGAAAATCGCAAAAGTGTATTGAATTGTATCGTTTGATGAATATCGCAATATATATCATATCGTGGACAGAATATCGTGTATCGTATCATATCGTAAGATTACTGTATCACTACAGCCCTACAATTAGCAAACACCTGCTGGAACTGCTGAGCTCGTCACAGGAGCGACTTCTCAGTGATAAAAACATTGTTAAAGTGGTAATGAAGGCTGAGCTTCAGAAAGAGCAGGAGTTTTTAAAGAGACAGAGGCCCAATTTCAAGGCATTAAATTACAAAGGCATATTTGACATAGATAGCGTTTTTATAACAACTGAAGTTGACGTAGTTAGACTGTGCTGTAAAATGGCTCCATCTCCCTTTAAGAAAAAAACTAAGTTGCTTTTCTGCGAGATATTGGAGTTTAAGTCAATAATTCCTTAATATTGACATAAAAAACTAGATCCACTGTCAGATTGTTTAACTTATAAAGAGACATGTTCCCCAAAGTTATGAGTGAAATAATCTAGTTTTTTCTTCATCAGTATTAAGGAATCATTGACTTAAAACAAGCTCCTATGTCTTGATGAAAAGTTCTGTCTTATTTCAAATGTGCTAAGACATTTGCACCAGAAACTCGACCAAAATACTCGGTAACATTTGGTGTTTATCTGCAGTTGCTCTGTGCGTGGAGCGGTTCTCCTACCCATGCCTGTTCCTGCAGGAGCCACCTCCCTGGAGAAGACCTCCAGAGCTTTCTTCTGCTTGTGGTGGACGGCCATCCAGACCACGGCCTCCCTGGAGTCCTGAACACAGACACAGACCAGAGTCAGGTTTAACCGCTGCAGGCTGGCGGCGGCTCCGCTCTGAGCTCGGCCTCTGCAGGAGGCTCCACGCAGGGCAGCCGAGGCTCACAGCAGCGTCTGTGGCGAATGGAGAACAAGGGAGACACAGAGGGAGTTCAGAGGCTTGAAACAGGCTTAGCTCTGACCCTGACCCAGTTGGTCCAACAGCGAGACGCAGCAAAGGAGGAACAGAA